GAATCAACATCTCACACATAAAGCTACAATAGCTTTCGTAAGCTGTAAAAGAATATGTGGGAAAAACAAGGGTCTAAACCTCAAAATTACCATATGGTTATACACAAGGGTAATAAGTCCCATGATAACCTGAGGAGCAGTGGAGTGGGTAACCAAAACTGCACAGGCAAGTGTAATAGGCCAACTCACTAGCATTCAGCGGCTTGCCTGTCTAAGTATTACTGGGGCCATGCGCTCTACGCCGACTGCAGCAATGGAGGTATTATTAAATCTCACGCCACTGCACATCTTCATACAAGGAGAAACCAAGTCAGCTATTCACAGGCTAATACAGGGACAAAACCCAATAAGCCAACTACATAGCGCCGACCACACAAGGCTATATCAACAAGTAAAAAGGGATAATATTCTAGATATGCCTATTGATAGAGCCATAACCACCTACAAATTTGAAAGAAATTTTCAAATTCAAATACCAGCCCGAGAATCCTGGAAACAGGGACCTCCCGTACAGGCTGAACTCGTCTGGTACACATACGGTTCAAAAGCCAAGGAAGGAGCCGGTGCTGGAATCTACGGACCCAAGTCGAAATCAATAATTTCACTGAGTTTAGGAAAATATGCAACAGTGTTTCAGGCTGAGCTAATAGCCATACAACACTGTGCAAGAGAAATACTAAATCAGCAAGTATCAGGCAAAATCACGACTGCTGGAAGACTATCTAGAAGACCTGACAGAGCTAAGTAGTCAAAATAAGGCGATGAGGGATATCAGGGCAACGAAAAGGCCAACGAATCAGCCCAAGAAGGCTCAGATAAGGCCATGACAGGCGCCGAACCATTCTGTGGAGTTGCTAAGGCATTGTGCAAGGCATCCATTAAACAATGGATGCAAAGAGAGTCTCAGGAATGGTGGAACAACTATCCAAGATTGAGACAGGCCAAACAGTTCATCAAGGAACCATCATGCGACAAGTTCACGAAAGACCTACTGGATCAAAAGCGTCAATTCGTTAGGATAACAGTAGGTCTTCTTACTGGACACTGTCGCTTCAAAAGGGACATGAGTGTTATAAATCCATCAGAAGAAGCAACTTTGTGCAGGTTCTGTGAAGAAGAAGAGGAAACATCATTTCACGTCCTGTGCCAATGTCAAGGCCTGGCTGGAATGAGGTTTCTAACATTGGGCGAAGAAAAGCAGCCAAATGCATGCAACTACATGCGGGAGCCACTGTCAAAGTTACTAAGTCTAATAAAAAAGATCAGGCTAGACGACATACTCTAAAACAAACGGAGTCCCACAATAGATCTAAAAAGATCGCGGTGGACAAGGACAAATAACGTCCAACTCCTAATCTAATCTAATTTAAATATATACCCAATCAGATGTAGGAGGGAAATAGTTTGCCTACAATTAAAAATCAAGAATTCAAAAACATCACCCCTCTAACATCAAAATAAATCGCAGAAGAGAATAAAACTAACTTTAATCCAAAAAAAAGCACCAGGCTTTGATTTAATTACTGGAGAAATCTTGCAGCAGTTTAGAAAAAGCATTCTCATGCTGAGATACTTATTTAATGCAATTTACAAACTAAAACATGTTCCTATATGCTAGAAAGTTGCAGAGGTAATGTTGCCTAAATCAGGAAAACCGCCAAACGAGGATAAGTCTCATATATATTGTCAAAATTATTTGAAACATTACTGCTAAAGAGATAAAGACATCTGATTGAAGATAACATACTGATACATGATTTCTAATTCAGCAACATTCTTCAATTGACTAAGTGCATATAATCAAAGATGTCACAGAGCATGACTCTGAAGGAAAACATATGTTCTGCAGTATTTGTAGACGTTGCCCAAGCCTTTGACAAGTTTCGGTTCACAAACTAAAAAAAATTGCTCCCGACGCAATATGTAGAAATTATAACATCATATATCTCAAACAAACTTTTTAGAATCAAGCCAGGTACACGAATATTCTAATTGAAAAGAAATAATAGTTGGAATGCCTCAAGGAATTGTTCTTGGATCCATCTTGTACTTACTTTACACTAGTAACTTTCCAATTTGCACGACCAAATAAGATGAGTAAGAAAATTCTAAACTACTAGCAATTCTCTAGTTAGATGGACCAATCAATGAAATATTAGGATCAATTATCTGAAATCTATTCATGTGTACTACTCTAATAACAAAAAAGCAGAACCTCGCATCCCAGCTAGAGGGTAGTCATTTTCAAGAGTTCGTGTTGAATAATAAACTTTACATATAACTTTTGGTAATGTTGTTATTGTCAAAAATTGTTTTCGCCCTGTATCTTTTAAATAAAGTGACTTCTCAAAAATCATCTGATAATATTCTTAGAATAGTACAGGGAATAACTCTTTAATTTTTGCCGTTTGTCTAATAATTAACTTAAAACAACTTTCTTGTGTATAATATATTTCTTACTTGATATGCTGGTGTCGTTTCATATTTTTTCCATATTTTGTCGTACGTATCTTTGGGAATATTAAACATCTGTCTAAAAATTACTCCTTTATCTGCAGATAGGGTTCCTCCTATTACAATAAATTCCATATCTGGATAGAGTGGATCTGGGTCAGTCGAAACATTACTTTTAAAATAAAGTAAAGCTTCTACTCCACCTATATTTGAACAAAAATAAAAATTATAATCAATATTTAGGGGATAAAAAATCAAGTAACAACAATTAATAATTGTAGATACTTTTAACAATATACTGCCCCATGATTGATTTTGCAATAATTTTTCTGTTTAACATGTTGAAATTTTTTTATTTTGGGATTCAAAGCGCAGAGAGGTCGCTTAACATATTGGGCATTCAAAACTAACCAAATTATAAAAATTTAATTGAACAGGTGCAGTTCCAAAATAAGAATATACTGTTATTACCTATGCTTGTTATTTGACCTTTTCCCAACGTTACGAAATCTAGAAGTTCTTTAACATTCGTCAATACTTTATCATAATCGAAAACGATATGCTGATTTATTTCAAATAATATTCCTAAAAATGTGGGATGGTCGTACATTTTCTTTCCTACGGGTAAGTTTTTCAAAACCGGAATACCTAAAAAAAGATATTTATGTCAACCCGTATAGGTAAGTAAGGTAGTAATAATTAATCTAAATAATTGAAACAATGGATAATTCTCTATAGTCCAGTAACTGAAGGGTCAAACCTGTAGAAAATTCGCTGATGAGTTCCCACATAGCGAATTTGCAGGTCATCGCAGGTGTGTTTAAATGAGAAAATCCTTAACGCGTTCTTGGTACCGGAAGGGGCTGAAAATGGATCCCTAAAACCTGGAAAATGGGTTTCCCGCTAATATCTGACTGAATATGCCAATTAGAGAATTTTTGTTCACGCAAAAAATGAAGATCAGCCCATTATCTACAAAAATGGCCTTCATCATTTTCTTCAAAAATTCAATAGTTTTCGAGATAATGGCACTCAAAAGTCCCCTCGTTTCAGCTGCTGCTCTACCTGTAGGAATTCCGCTTTCTATGAATTAACGTGTAAGCGGGCGAACGAATCGTTCCATATCTCGGGAAAAAATTGATATTTTTCGATGATTCAAAGTTCATCGCAATGGGAAAACCCATAGCTACAATTCCATGTGACTTGAAGTCAGTTCGTATTTGCCAAAAATATTTAAAAAAGCGGCAAAATTTTTTTCAACAATATTTAGAGACTGCTTCATTAATGTATTCATATTTTCTATAAAAATAGTATTAAGTGTAAAGGTTAAAGAAAAAGTCCTTTATTTCTCACAAAGTCAATTTATTGGCGACCGGTGATGATGAAGTGACAACTTCGAAAAAGTGTTTAAAGTGAGAAATTTCCTCGTTATTCTTGTCTACTTGGTGTAATTGTTCTAACGGTTGGATCATCTATTTTTTGGTAGCTCTTGGTGTTGTTGAAATGGAAGCGGATTCCGTTCCAGAATGCTTTCTTTGTAAGGAGGGTGTTGTAAATGTTACTCGTGGTTTAGAAAATACCGTTGACGATGAAGAATATGTATATGATTCTGATGACTTGGAGTGGTTGACCACACCCTAAAGATTGTTATGTATGTTTTATATTCAACCAATTTTTTCAAATAAATGTAATTTTTCCGAAATCCTGCACCCATATTATTTCGAAAAAAGTTTGGCAAAAAACCGCAAAAATGCGAAAAATGTTTAGAATGGTTGTATGGTGAATATTCACCACGCTCTAAAAGTTGTCATTTGTTTTTAGCCAAAACAACGGGGTTCAGGACCTTGGCACAAGGAAAAATAAATTTTTGCAATTTTCTGGTAAATTTGCAACTAAAATTGCACATAACATTCGCTAATACAATTGAGAGAGCCCAAGCGCTACTTTGCAGAAAAAAATCAGGTGAAATCCGCCAGTAATTGTCGAATAATCGATTATTTCCGATATTTTCATTTACGGACTCCGTAATTTAGCGAGAAGAGCAAAGGTGCTGGTGCAATCTGCAGTTGGTCTTTAAAGTCCAAAAGATGAAGATCAATGCATTTGCAACCCCATCGAGCACAAATTCGGCAAGAAAGTACCATATCTATTCAATATGAAAATTATGGATTTTTCGAAGTCTGATTTTGCAAAAAATATTAGCATTGCGAAAAAATTGGTAGAGAACATTTTTGTAGAGAATGAGCTGATCTTCATTTTTTGTTTAAACAAAAATTCTCTAATTGGCATCTTTAGCCAGATATTAGCGGGAAACCCGTTTTTCAGAGTTTAGAGGTCCATTTTCAGCCCCTTCCGGTACCAAGAACGCATTAAGGATTTTCTCAATTAAAAACACCTGCGATAACCTACAAATTGAGCTACGTGGGAACTCATCAGCGATTTTTTTACAGCTTTCGATCTTTTGAGTTCTTCATTTACTGGACTACTAGTAATAATTGACTACATTAACGCTGTAAGCTAAACTTCTGTATTAATTTTGAAATATGCTAAAATTTACCTAATTCATCTAAATGCTGCTTAGGTCCTATTCCAGACAACATAAGCAGTTGCGGAGAATTTAGACCCCCAGCACTGGAAATAACTTCTTTATTGGCAAAAGCATAGTAATATTTCTTTTTCCTGGCATATTTAATACCATAAGCTTTCTTTGAATCTGGATCTATAAGGATTTCTACTACTCTACTATTCGTTAGTATTTTGAGATTAGGTCTAGTTGCTACCGGTCGCAGAAATGCCTTTTCTGCACTGCAACGTCTTCCGTTTCTTAGATGAGCTTGAACATAGGAAACCTAAAACAATTTAAATTAAATTTTAGGAAAAAAATACTGAAAAATTTTAAGTTTTGATTAACATTTAGATTATATTTTACAGGAGTTTTCTTCGTCCACTGCGATCTTATCAAATCTATTATGGTTCGCTATTAAAAGCACATTATCTATATTTAACCTGTCAACAGATTCTTTTTTAGCAGTTGTAGCCCCTCCTGTGGTTTGTTTGGGTGGCGGGTAGATTTTATACAGTCAGAGACAGAGTTCTTTAAAAATAAAACTTTATTATAACAATTGATAAACAGATAACAATATTTACAATGTGTACGTACATGAAAAGGTTCTGGCTAAATTTCAATTCGTCTTCAAATGTTGTTCCCCAAAGTATATTTCGTGCGTCGGTTCGGCGTGGCTTAGTGGTCCAGGATGGTGTGGCGAAGATGAGACAAGAGCTTAGGTTACCTTTACGGTGATGGAAGTCCCTCGAAGTCAGTACCTTCGTAGCAGAGATTCACGGGGAAGGAAAGCCTACAAAGTAAATACCTTTGCAGGTAATAGTCGGGACGTCGGGAAGCCTACAGAGTCAATACCTCTGCAGGATCAGGAGAGGAGAGTCTTGCTAAGTCAATACTTTAGTTCGACTCACAAGAATTAAATTCGGAGGTCTTTATATACTTGTCTCTGCTTGGCAAAAACAGCTGCATGCTGAACCATAGGCGTCTCTAGAACGGTGCTACTGGGCAGCATCTTTACACAGTATACCTATAAAGAACTGAAGTGGAAAAAATAGTTCATATTTCTGAAGAATCTTATTCTGTCTTGATCTTGGATGATTATTCCAGCTCTCCTGCGACTTTTTTTCCATCTAATATTTAATGTTTGCTTTACTAAGTGCTGTTTTCTACGATCACTATAGGCTTTTTCGCTTCGTAATCCAAACGCAAAGTTATTTTCCGCGTTCTGACATTAAGTGACAGATTTGTCGCTCGCCGAGCGGAAAACTTGAGAGTTTTGTCGCTCGTCTAATTTAAATTAGCTATAATATAATTAATGTGAATTTTATTTTGGTTTTATACCTATGAAATCCTAGATATTCACTTTGAATTTCTTATCCGAAAATAGATAGGTATTCAAACACAGATTTAAACTCCTTACAATTTGTATTAGGTACTCTTTTTTCATGGTGATACGCATGTAAATTGAACATATGTTGCAGGCAAATGAATATATTTAGTAAATAAAAATTAATTTCTGCTATATTTTTACAATATAATTAGTTCTTAGCCAAATTAAACAAGATTTTTAACCGACTTCAAAAAAGGAGGAGGTTCTCAATTCATCGGAATATTTTTTTTGTATGTTTAGCGATAATTTTTTTTGTCTGATTCTCTGATTCTCTGATTCTCAGGGGATCTAAAGATGGGGTCTATGAGAAAATCATCAAACTCTTAATTTTTTATGTATTTTCAGCGATAATTCTTTCCCATATTGTCCGATTTCTATGATTCTTTTTTATTAGAAAGGGGATACCTCAAGGGTAGTTCCGTATACAATGGGTCAAGATCTGATGATCTATAAGAAAATCAAAAATCTCAATTTTTAATCGCATTTGCACGATTGTGAAGTTGCTTTTTTAATTAAAAAATTATTATAAACAATATCCACTAGAAAGAGCCAAGAGGTAGGCAATATATTATACACGTTAAGCAATTTTAATACTTTTAAAGTATGTTGTCATTTAATAGTTTCTACTTTTGAGACAATTTTGAGTAAAAATGGATAATGAAAGAGAATTATCAAGTACATCTCCTGATGTAACGGATTTTGCGAAAAATATAACTTTGAACCATAGAAATATTTCTATGCTTTGAACCTTCTACCGAATAAATCAAAAGAGAAATATGAAAAACAATACAACCTCTTCACGGATTAGTGTTGCTCAAAGAAAATTAAAAAGTATTCCGAGAATGTATTGCTGACTTATTTTGGCGAAAAGTTTAAAAATTTAAAGTCAGCAACTTTGTGATCACAATATTCGATGCTGAGAGCTACTTTACAAGTAAAAAATATGCAAAAGTAATTGCATTTTAAAGAACAAACAGTGGGATACAAACCAAGAAAATCACTAACATTCTCAAAGGAGCAAGTGGAGAACTATTGGCTCCAAAAATTAATCAGTTCTTTACCCTGGAGTGTGGGCAGTAGTACAGAAGTTTTTAATCGCATTTTCTACGTCCTATTTGGCTGAGCGAGGATTCAATGCAGTAGCTAATTTACTGTCAAAGAAGGGGAACAGACTACACATCACTGAACGTGACGATCTGCGATTAATGTGAACTAAATTGGAACCCTGCAATAACAATTTGCTAAAACTCCACCGGCCTCAACCATCTCATTAATTAATTTTGTGATAATTTTATTTTTTTATCGATTGTTTATTCAAGTTTTAAAAACAATTTTAAAACTTGAATAAACAATTATTTTACATTTCGTTGTCATTTTATGTTTCGGAGGGGCGTTGGAATTTTTTTTTTTATTTAAATGGGGCAGCACTCCAGAAAAGGTTAGGAACCTCTGATCTAGAAGAAAGGGTACTAAATCATTTTATCAAATGTTCAAAATGCCCCCCGTTAGCTTCTAAACATTTTAGCAATCTTTTTTCAACATGATTAGTTGTTGCTTTACGAATCATTTCACCATCTAACTCGTTAAAGGCATTTCGAACTCTTTGCTCTAATTCTTCTTTAGTATTAATTTGGGTAGAGTACACTAAATTTTTAATATGACCCCATAAAAAAAATCAACAGGAGTTAGATCTGGCGATCTTGCAGGCCAAAGCCAAGGACCATTTGGACCTATCCATCGGTCTTCAAAGATTGCTGTAATTTCTTGATTTACATAGTATGTTGAATGTGCTGGGGCACCATCCAACTGGTACCAAAAATTATTATTTGGTAGCTGGTTTAAAATGTCGGCAACTACTTCTCTAAGAATTCTAATGTATCTTTCTGCGGTCAGTCTTTCATTATAAATGTAATAAAAAGCTCTTCCAAAACTGATCACTGCAAACACATTAAAACTAAATTCGTACTGAAATTGTGCTTTACGATAAAAATGTGGATTTTCGTTTGCCCAGAAATGACATTGCTTGCGATTGATGATCCCTTTACGTGTAAATTTCGACTCGTCTGACCACAAAATTTTGTTTAAAATCTCGGGATCTTCTTGAATTCGTACCAATAACCATTCGCATAATTCAGTTCGTCTTATTTGATCACCATCTCGCAACTCATGAACTTTTCTTTGTGCATAGGGATGCCATTTATTTAGTGCTAAAATTCGTTGTATTGACCCTCGACTAATATTTAAGTTATCTTGAGCCATTCTAATAGAGGCGTGAGGATACGCAGTAAAATACGTTAATTAGATTAACTTCTTCATCTCGGACATAATGTTGACGGTTTCTTCCCGGGTTTTGTTTAAAATTATTCAAAAAGTTAGCATCGATTCTATCAAATTTCTGTCTGTTCATTGGTGGTAAATGAGGGTATCGTTCATTAAACATGCGGCAGGTTCTACTTTTGATTCGATTACATTCTCCATGAATGTAAAATAAATTAAGAATATCTTGGTTGGTATATTCTTCAATATTTTCCATATTTTGAACGCAAAAAATACACAACTTAAATACATAGAAATATGACAATTCAGTTTGTTGACAGATTGTTGTTTAGCATATTTCCACGGCATACTAAGATAAAAAATTAAAATGTAAAACTATACTATATTATGTAGGTGCATGCGTAAAATTTAAATTTAAATTTTCTTAAAATTGGCGAGAGATAATTATAGGGAATTAATAGTGCAAATTAAGATCAATGAAGAATAATTTTCTGAACAAAATGAAATAAAAATATACAGGATTTTCCATTTAAAATAAAAAAAATTTTCATGTTTAAAATATTTATTTTTTAAAATAATTTCCAAACACACAGTCGAACAAACGATGTACAAGTAAATTTAAAAAAGCAAATGTCTGCCGGCATATAAAAGTTTATAAAAAACTGAATAACGCCAAATACACTATAATTAGAATAGGCGAATGGGGTATCATTGTTTACAGAATTTCATGCTGAATCTAAAATTTAAAAAATATATAGGGTGTACAATTTAAAATAAAAAAGTTTTTTATGTTTAAAAAATTTCATTTTTAAAAATAATTTGCAAACACCCCGTACAACAAATAATGAATAACTAAATATTCTCAAGAAGTACATCCCATCTACTACCTCTGGCTAAAATTTTAAATATCTGATAGATATAGTACCTGAGATAGACGACTTTAAGAAAATGTCTACCGGTGACTAAAAATGTAGAAAAAAATTGAATAACGCCAAATCCGCTATAACTAGAATAGGCAAATGGGGTATCGTTGTTTACAGAATTTCATGCTGAATATAAAATTAAAAAAAAATATGAGGTATTCCCTTTAAAATAACGAAGTTAGTGGTCACTTCCGGTATAACCGGAAGTTGCACAGGGTTCATTTTATTTTAATTCAAAAGAGCATATTCGATTATGTATACTCAGAAAATGGCGAAAATACAAATTAATTTATTCTCCATAAAGTTGTAATGCCCGCCTTACGTGGGACACGGTGTATAAAAGTTGATATTTTTGTAAAGTACACGAAAGCTATAATAACACCCATTCGAACGTAGTTCTAGGGGCAACAACATGTTATATAATCGACAGTAAAAAAAGTGTTACAGCGTTGGCGTTAGATTATCTTCGGTATTACTTAAGACCCAGTTCTACTTCGGGTGTGGTATTAATGTGCATTTACATGAAAAACATTTTTTAAGTGGAAGAAGCGCTAAAAAATGTATATATCAAATAAAAGTTGCTTGTGATTTATTCAACCCTATAGTGGTGTGTCGTTTTTTTTACTTTACGCAATATCTCTATTATTCACGATTGGAGAAGAAACTTTTTAAAGGAAAGTTATTTCCGATATAATTTTTTATATACAGGGTGGCTACTTTTTATATTGAACAGTATTGCTATCTCGAAAACCGTAAGAGTTACAATGTCGGTTAAATGGGAAAAAAGTTGTACTTTTGCAAGACTAATTTAGAAATGTTTTAAAATCAAGAAAATCAGGACCGGTTTTCAAGATATTTAAGGAAAACCAAATGACTCTATTTTCGATTTTTTATCGTATTGCCTTTATTTTACAAATTAGAAATTTTAATTAACTTTTTATTTGGTATAAAGTAGCGCTTAATTTACCGCAGACAGATTTTTTTATACCACGGTTCATTTCTGGTATCAAGTATATTTTTTTGAACATGGACCTGCATTTTTTATTTTATTTTATAAAAGTAAATTTAATCATAAATTCAACCATGTAATACACATTAGTAGTTTAAGACGTTTTGATACTTTTTATTATTGCTATTGCAAGGTCACTATAAATTTTATTGTTTTAATACAGACCTGTATTTTTTATTATGCTTTTTTACTTAGATTACTACTGAAGCTACACTCCCAAATTTATTTTTAAAATAATTGCAGTTTCGTTACATCTGCTTCCTCTACCAAAAATATAATGTTGTGTTAAAAAGGGATGGCGGTTACTGAGGAGTACTTGAAGAATTTGTCAAGGTAGTTTAATCTTTTCATGTAGGTATTATTAATCTAGAGTGATCCATTTTTATTGAGACGAATAAAAAAGTAAAACTTGAAGAATTAGTATAAAATGATTTTATATTCTATAAATATTTAAATAAATAACGAAAAAACCACAGTATAAAATAGAAACAATAGGCAATTTTGAAAAAATTGTTCAATATGGTTTCTATTTTTTTGAATGTATGATTACATTTTTAATATGTTCAGGCAAATTATTAAAAGCCTGTGCACCTTTAAAAAATACTGAATTTTGAGTTCATTTTTTCGTGGCCTTGTAAACTCTTAAAATTTTTCTTATTTCGTGTATTGTAACTTGAAAGTTACTGGAGAGATTCTTAATTTATTCTTTAATATAAATAGCAGTGAATAGAACAGCAAATATTTTTTAATAGGCAACCACTAAAGCACATTTAATATGGAATTGATTGGTTCAGATCTTGAATACCTCAGTATTATCCTCCTACCTCTATTCTGCAACTTTTGAAATAGTTGAAACTCATTCTGGTTGAGCAAATACAGTATAGTGGAACAATAATTAAAATGAGGTAATATTAGAGCATGATAAATTATTATTTTAGCCCATTTGCTGAGATGTGGATAACAGCGCCTCAAATAGTTTATTTTAAATAATATGCTTTTGACGACGTTAATAGCATGTTCTTTAAATTGTAAATTTGTATCAACCATAACCCCTAGATATTTAAATTTTTCAACTCTCTGAAACAGAACACACTGCGATGCCACATTTAATTTTTTTTTAAATTTTCAGTACCCCCAATCCACTTTGTCCCGTCCCTTCGTAATTTATTTTCAACGAGTTTCCGTTACAATAATCATATATTTTACTTATAGAACTATTAATTTCTTTAAAACAAGTTTCAGTGTTTTCATGGGTAAAATATATCAGTCCATCATCTGCAAATAGGTGTATTGAGCATTTTTCGACTACATTAGCAATGTCATTAATATAAATTAAAAACAGTAGCGGACCCAGAACACTAATTATTCTCTATAGTATCCGCCTGTTTCCTATTCTTCATATAATGACCCACCCAGTCCAGTGCACAATCTCCCAAACCAATAGCTCTTAATTTCATTACTAATCTACCCCTATTAATAGTCTCAAATGCCCTTTGTAAATCTAAAAATACCGCCAGTGTAACCAAATTATTTTTAATTAATAACTTCCAGTCATGCAACACCAACTGCAGAGCAGTTTCACAGTTGTGTTTACTACGGAATTCTGATTGAACATTACTTATCAAACTGGCCCCCTCTAAATAATCAATAATTCAAAGATATATTACTTTTTCTATTTTCAACAGCACTGATCAAATGTATTCGTTCTAAATGGGTAGCTTCATTTGGATTCGTAATTTTTGGTATCGGAATTATTGTAGCAATCTTAATATCGTCCGGAACTAAGCTTGTTTCAATAGAAAAAATTTATTGTACGAGTCCAAGTTTATATTATAAGCATTACGTGAGTTAATTGTATAAATTTTCTACTCTATTGTAAATACGAATTATTGAACAGTGATAAATGTCATTCTTTTGTTGCTATATCTTGACAAGAATATTGACCCATATATGTTCTTTCCGTTTTTAAGAGTTTTATGTCTTCAAAACTTGTATCTAGTTAACATAAATAAAATTTAACTTACCCCAATTTGTTCTTTTCCGTTATAATCAATATAAGGATAACCAGCCTCTTGAGCACCTTCCACAACGGCATCTACTAATTTAGTTCGATATGGCACATCACTAATAGTCAAATATCCTCCAGAACTGTGATATCCTGGTTCGCTCTTCTCCAAATGAGCATCTTCAGACTTTAAAAAATATGGCAAGACTTCATCGTAAGACCAACCTGGATTACCCATCGCTGACCATCTATCATAGTCTCTTCTGTTTCCACGTACATGAATCATGAAATTAATGATGGTGGTTCCTCCAAGAGCTTTACCGTGAGCATATTTTATTGTTTTGTTTATGCAACCTTAAAAAAGAGTTTAAATATTAAAAATAAACATAATTGGTTTAGAAACTAACACAAATATGGTAATATTGTCAATAACGATTTTTGGACAAAGTAGATCTGAATTATAAAGGTTTGAATATTTGGTGATCTGATAATAGTCATTGGAACGAAACCTCTATGTTCAAAAATGATGATCCGCCCCGTATAAATAATTTATAGTAAACATAAGAACAGCAATATTTTTATTATTTACTATGTACATCGCATTATCGAATTTAAGAATCTTACACAAATCAAAGCCAACCTTCGCAAATGTAAGAGTGCATTTTATCAAATTTCAAGATCCAAGAAAAATATTTTATGCATACCTGAAGCAGATATACATGCGAAAAATACACTTTTTCTACATCCACATGGACATGAGCTTATCTACACATAGATTACAAAACGAAAAAGTATACAATTGCGTTTAACTAAACGAATTTATTTCATATCCATTCTAGGTTAGTTTTACCTTTGTACATTCTGTTCTGTTCTTTAATTTTCTTGTAAAACGTTTCTGTATTTTCCTTACTTTCTTCTTGATCAATTATTTTTATTTTCTATCCACCCTTTTCTACTTTTTCTTGTAAGCTTTTTGGTTTGTTTTCTCAGTTCTTCATAGATTATTATTTCATCTTATATTTTATTTTCTCTCAGCCACTTGATTCTTGCCTGCACCTTTTTTGTTGTGGCTTCATTTTTCATTAAACCATTCTTTTCTTACTTTTTTATGTGCAACCCTAATATTTTCTTCTGCTGCTTTCTCCAATGACTTTCCATTCTGCTTTATATATTATATATTTATTACCTACCTGAACAAACTCCATCTTGCTGCTCTGTCCTATACCCCCAATCGTAATTAGTAAACTGAAGAGCACTGCATATTCCTGGTGGATCCACTATGGGACTAGGTACCCCTCCAGCTTCTATTAAAAGGATATTCCATTCTGGCACTTCCGATAGTCTATTGGCAATAACTGACCCTGTAGGTCCTGAACCAATCACTATGAAGTCAAATGTTTGGTTGTTTTTTACTTGACAGTAAGGGTCTGAAAAAAATAATTAATATGAAAGTGTTATATTTTTGTTATATTTGTGATATTGTCAGAGAATATTGGTATTGGGGAATAAACAATTGGACTTATTATATCCGAGTTTGGATTATTATTTGGGATTTTTAAAATAATTTGATATTTATTGAGTGTGCGTGCACTGGGGACCAGGTCGCAATGGCCAGGTCGTCATGACCACCGGAATAATTCATGTTGATTACACATAACGCAAAACTGACCACGACCAAGAGGTATTGACGTTCAATTAAAACCTGCTGTATGTATAGACGGTCAGTAAAACGCCGCGACAAACAAGATACATCGTGCTAAATGCGAGGTAACGCACAGACGACAGATATTTACTGGAATGCTGCTACTTTCTCGATATTAATTTTGAAACTAGTAAATTGGTCGCTTGATATTGGATGCGATCAATGTAGTAAATAAATCTTGGTAGCAACGACCAGGCTATCTCGATCTGGTCGCCCAATGCGCGCATGCTTTAAATGGCAGGCAATAGAATTACAAAGATAACATATATATCAGGTTTCTAGTTGAGATTAAAAGTTATAAAGTTAGGAGTGGTTTTATTATTCTCTTTTCTTTTTAAATGTTGGTGTATTGAGTGGAAGATAAAAGGCTAACCTCATAGTACTAGAACTTGATTTTTTTTCTTGATATATTTATTATCTTTTATTAAAATAAATAAAACTGGTATAGGTAGGTACCTACTTTCGTACTACTTACCTCTTACATTTTCTATATAGATGGGCACTAGAAGTAATTCGACAGGAAAAACAAACACTAGTCCAATCAAAATAATTCCATGAAATACACAACTATTCATTATCTTATGTTAAAATATCTAAAAAAAATAAAGTAACTATGAATTATTTGGAAGGAAATCAATTATTGTACATCCAACAACGACGATGAAGTAAGTTGTTTAAAGTTAAAAAATACAATTAATTCTCCAATTAACTAAAACCCAGACGAAATAAAATTCGAATAAAATATGTTTCAACCTTGACAACAAAACAACTTCTTACAAAATGTCATTGAAAAATGAAATGAAATTATTTTAAAATTAGGAAGTAGTCATGGGCGCTATTGGAATTACAATTCCTCTCAAATATATAGGTAAGTGATGATTTGTTAGGAAATTAGGTAGACAGGGGTAGAAAGGGGACAACGAGGTGGTTCTGAATAATATACATTAATCCATTTTGCTTAATTTTACAATTATTTATAGCTTACGAATCACATTGTATATTTTGAATACAATAATCACATATATTCTTTGTCTATAGGGTGCCGAATAGCATATAAATGAAAGTGCATCCTACTTAATTTTCCATGTGTTTATTGCATTTTAGATGTATTTAGGAAAGTTGTATCTTCAATAATGTGCTTTTTTAAGGATATCACAACTTAGTTATTGGTAAAAAAAAATTGTAATTTTAGCAAATGATAATTTCACACGACCTTTGTATTCGTCTAAAATTTTATGGCCCATATTTCTTTAGCAAATCCATCTTTAAATAAGTTAATTACATTGAGAACTTAGAAATAGTTTACTTTTAGCAAAATGATGTGCGCATTATGAAATGTATTACACTCGTATGAAACAGGCTTCAATTAGGGCATTTGGGAAAAGACGGATTGACAGATCTTAGTCCTAGCATGGTCGCCACCACGATTACCCGATTTATTTGTTTCACAGAATTGTTTATCCTATTTTGCACCAGTTATGAAAATTTAATTAAAAATGATGAGTAGCAAAATGTTCAAGAACATCATTTCGAATAGTATTATTGTATTTTCTTTTCACTCTTATTTCTCGTTGGTTTATGAAATTTTTATCATTATTAGCTTGCAACAAATATTTAATGATAGTTATTAAGAGACGAGTATGAAACTTATATCACCAGCCTTGTCAAGTGCCGTTATGAATGGGACGACCGTTAACTGGAGATACTACGAGTTAAATAATGATGATTGGCTCAAACATGCCTTATCCAAATTTTGATGGTACGCAACCGTCTGCCAGACTATTAATATATTAATTTTAACAAAAAATTTTCTATACAATGTACAAGAAAAAATTAAACGTGAACATTTTTATTTTTTTTCCTTGTTTAGATGAAATTAATCTGGTACGTTTTTTTAAATTGCATAATTGACATTTAACTATCAATATGTCAAAAGTGCATCTTGTAAATCTTAACGTTATAACATTAATATCAAATTATTTCTTCTTGGCGAAGAAAAATGAAGTGCTTTATATGTGATGAAACTAATAAGGAAGAACAAAATATTCTCCTTTACTGATATATTTAAAAAAAGTTGTTTGTTTTAATATAATCATCTGAATAGGAAATTTCTGCAGGGTGTTTTTTAGAAGATATCGCAAATTAGTTGTAAAAAAATCATTACAAAAAGTCAGTACAAATTTAAATACATTTTTTAACTTGCATAAGTAGGTATATAAATAAATTGTCTTGATAATTTTAGTATAATTTAAATGATTATAAAACTTTAAATTTGGTCATAAGTATTTGACAAAATAAAATAATTAATAATTAGATGTATTGTTTTTAGATTATATTATTTACTTCTGCTCATTTGGCTGATTTTGCTGGTCCATCAAAAATACTGCAATCATTGCAGTTAGATATTTCATATAATATAGTACAGGAATAGGGTCTTCTTTGACTTCTGATGTTTCTTCCAATGACATAATTCAATAGGTAAATTTGATTTATAACTGACATCTTATAGCCCAAGAGCCCACTGCAAATTTTTATATAACGAAATGAATTATACTCTAAAATCATGGAAAAACATTGTACTTTACCAAATGGCACCTGTGCCAATCCCAATCCTGAGCAAAGTGGCTTAAAAAAATTATTTTATATTAAAAAAATCACATAAGGCATGACAGCGCTAATTTTGTTTGCCCTTAAAGTTTTCCAGAAAATAACATTCAAATATATCTTGATATATATCGTTAAAGGGAAACATTTTCTTCCTCTTAACATCGCACAAAAACATCTATTCAAGATTAGTAGGTAAAAATCATTAAAAATATGAATCAATGTTTACTAATTTAAAAATTTATTTGTATTCCTATTGTTGTGATTCATTTTTACAGGTTGCCATAGAAACAACAAAAAAACTACTATGATTATGGTTTAATATAATTGTCTAACAAGAGTTTATAATTATTATTGACTATCTCTGCAAATGGTTTATACAATGCCATCCTTCTTCCTTTCATACACAAACATGGTTTAAAAGGTAGGTAAAAATATTAATAATTCAGGTTTAAAAGCTAGGTTCACAATGAATTAGCATTGTCATTTTCAGGGAAAACACAATTGTCGCTGTCATGTCTTATGTGATTTTTTGAATATAAAATAATTTTTTTAACCACTTTGCTCAGGATAGGGATTGGCACAGGTGCAATTTGGTAAAATACAATGTTGTTACATGCCTTTGAAGCATATTTCATTTCGTTATCAGATGACGGTCGAAATTTGCAGTGGGCTCTCATACTATTATAAGTTGATCGTGTAAAAAACTTCCAGTCTCTTAAAATGTATCTAATGTTTTGATAATTCTTTTTTAATTTTTAGTCGAAACAATGTACAATATATACTACGTCAGAAACTGAGAAAAAGAAAATAATTCATCTGTTTACGTCAAAAATTTAGTTTCATTTCTATTGACTTTTTGTAATGATAGATTAAATTTATCAACTAATATTTTTTTTAGCAACTAATTTGCAATAACACATTAAATGATATCCTTCAGAATATTTTAACTAATGTAATAATTTTGAAAGAGTAAAACCAAATTTGGTAGATTTTCACACTTTTATTTTAAAAATAAATTTTTTTTTTTTTAAAAAACACTAACATGACATATGTTTCGAAGTACAACTTCTTTTTCAAATGTGACTATTTACAATTACACAAAGAGAACTATCCTATTAGACCAGTTGTGTCATTTGTCACGGCTCCATCAGTTAAACTTTCACACACATTAATTAAACTTATACAAGAAAACTGCAAATTCAATTCAAAGTATAGTATAAAAAATTCTTATGAATTAACAGAAAAATTAAAAAACATTAAATTACCTAGTAACACAAAATTAGTATCGTTCGATGTAACAAACTTATTTCCTAGTATACCTCCTAAAGAAACAGTTAAGCTAGTAGAAAACTTATTATATCGTAATCAAGTCAATATTATAATCAAAGAAGAAATCCTAAATTTGTTAAACATTTGCCTAAAACAAAATTATTTTCAATTTCAAAATAACATCTACTCAGCAAATGAAGGTCTTATTATGGGGAACCCATTAAGCCCGTTGCTTGCAGAAATATTTATGGATAATATAGAAAATAAAATTCATAGCAATAATTTAAGTAAACATTGTCTGTATTTGCATAGATATGTTGATGATATATTGACTGCTTTTACTGGTACTAGTAGACAGTTAAATTCTTTATTAGTTTTTATCAATACTATACACCCTAATATTAAATTTACTATGGAAACAGAGAAGGATAATTCAATTAATTTTTTAGGCTTAAATATTATTAAAAATAATAAAGGCCATAGTTTTGGGATATTTCATAAGCCATCACATACGGATATTACAATAAATAATAGTTCATCTCATCCATACAAACAAAAGCTGGCAGCATACAACAGTATGATCCATAGATTAGTTAATATTCCCCTTACCAAAGAGAACTTCACAAAAGAATTAAATATCATAAACAAATCGCAGTAAATAATAATTTTAATTCAAAGTTAGTAGAGAACATTTTAGAGAAAAAACTTTTTAAACAGGCTATTCAACAAGTTTATCCCATAATTAAAGATCCAAATTGCAGATATAAGAGTCTTACATATATAGGAGCTCCTAGTGAAAAGGTATCATCATATTTAAAAAACCAAAATATTAACGTAGCTTTTAAAACCAATAATACGCTTGGGAAGTATATTAAAAACAATAAGGGTAAAATTAATCCTAATAATAAATCGGGGGTATATAAATTAAATTGTGGTAGTTGTCCAAAATTGTATATTGGTCAAACAGGCCGTACTTTCAAAAAACGCTATTCCGAACATTATAATAGCTATACAAAAAACAAAAATAATTCTACTTACTCAAATCATATTTTAGCTGAAAATCATTCTTTTACAGACAACTTTGAAATTTTACATGTAGAAAATAAGAGCCTTAAATTAAACCATTTAGAAACACTTGAAATAAATAGATTTAAAAATTCAGATAACTCACTAAATGATCAATTAGATATTAATAATTCACCCTTATTAAATCTCTTTCCCAGTTTTCTGTGAGATAATCCCGGTAATGGGCTATCTTATTGTTATCTGATGGATATTATAATTACCTAAGTACCCTTATTTACTTTAAATAGTTAGTTTATTTTGTAATGTTATTGATGTTTTCTTAAGTACTTTGTTTTGTTAAATTATTTCGTATATATATTGGATACCGAATAGTCACATTTGAAAAAGAAGTTGTACTTCGAAACATATGTCATGTTAGTGTTTTTTTTTTAAATTTTTATTTTTAAAATAAAAGTGTGAAAATCTACCAAATTTGGTTTTACTCTTTCAAAATTAAATGGATTTTCATCAAGTAAAGGCCGAAACAATAAATAATTTAATGTAATAATATTAAATCACCGTATTTATAACGGTAATTTTTTCCTATTCTTATAAACAAATTTGTGTTATATAGATCATCACTAAGGAAGAATATTGTTTCTTTGCATTTTTGATAGATTGACAAACTAAGCAACTCAAAAAAACTCCCTCTCAATAATTTGTATCGGACGACAATAATTTTAATTTTGATCAGGCGAAACTTTGGTTAAGTATTTACGTACCAGAACAATTTTATTCAAAAGAGGAATGAAAAATAAGATTTTTCATGTTTAACTCTTTGTATAGAAAACCTTGTATAGAAAATTTATCGAACATTTAATATAAATTTCTGGACAAAATTAACGCAACATCATAAATTTGCCACATTTTTTATGCTATTTTTTTTTTTGAATTTATGATCCGATTTGAATGATTTTTTTTGCATTCTAGGTTAGTTTTTGACAATGTCATAATTTTCGCTGTTTATGATAAAAATTTTCTTTTCAATTTATACCGGGTGCAGTGTTGCCAGAATATATTTTTGTAATGTACCAGATTTGTCTAAAAAATGTACCAGATTGCATAAAAATGTACTAAATTCTATACAATTACCAGATTTTTCTCTCTAACAGCTTTTAAACCTTTTTTTTTATCTCTTAAGCTATTTTTAAACAATATTATATCTCTCGATAAATTTCTAATAGCAATTTTTAATTTTTAACAACTTTTTTTTATCCCTCGAGCAATGGTTGTACAATATTTTTTGTACAATTTTTAACACTATTTAATCACTCAAGCAATTTTTAACAGCCTTTTTTCATCTCAAGCTATTTTTGAACAATATTTGATCTCTCGTGCAATTTTTGAACAAAATTTTAACAATTTTTAACACTATTTTATATCTCGGGCAATTTTTATTAACATTTTTTATCTTTCTAGCAATTTTTAAACAATTTTTTATCTCTAGAGAAATGTTTAACAGTATTTTTTAATTCTCGAGTAATTTATGAACAAGATTTTAACAATTTATAATACTATTTTAACTCTCGAACAATTATTCAACCTTTTTTATCTCTTGATCTATTTTTAAACAATATTTTATGTTTCAATAAATTTCTAACATTATTCTATCTCTCGACCAACTTTTTTAACACTATTTAATCACTCAAGCAATTTTTAACAGCCTTTTTTCATCTCAAGCTATTTTTGAACAATATTTGATCTCTCGTGCAATTTTTGAACAAAATTTTAACAATTTTTAACACTATTTTATATCTCGGGCAATTTTTATTAACATTTTTTATCTTTCTAGCAATTTTTAAACAATTTTTTATCTCTAGAGAAATGTTTAACAGTATTTTTTAATTCTCGAGTAATTTATGAACAAGATTTTAACAATTTATAATACTATTTTAACTCTCGAACAATTATTCAACCTTTTTTATCTCTTGAGCTATTTTTAAACAATTTTTTATGTTTCAATAAATTTCTAACATTATTCTATCTCTCGACCAACTTTTTTATCTCTTTAGCAAACTGCACAATATTTTAACTCTCGACAAATTTATAACAATATTTTAACTCTCGATAAATTTTTAACAATGTTTTACGTCCCGAGCAATTTATAACAACTTTTTTTTGTCTCTCGAGCAATTTTTGTAAAACATTTTATCTCTTGAGCAATTTCAAATAGTATATCTCTCGAACAATTTCTAATAGTAGTTTATCGTTCGAGGAATTTTTTAACAATGTTTTATCTCTCGAGAAATTTCTAACAGTATTTCTCGAGTCAATTTTGAACAATATTTTATTTCTCAACAAATTTTTCAACAGTAATTCATCCCTGGAGTAATTTTTGAACACGATTTTAACAATTTATAATACTATTTAATCTCTCGAACAATATATAAAGATATTTTATCTCTCATTAAATTTCTAACAGTATTTTTATCCTTTGAGCAATTTTTGAACATGTTACCACTCAAGCAATTTCTAATACTATTTTATCCATCGGCCAATTTTTAACACCTTTTTTACCTCTCAAGCTTTTTTTAACAATATTTGATCTCTTGTGCAATTTTTGAATAATGTTTTATCTCTCGAGAAATGTCTACTATTTTATTTCTGAAGCAATTTTTAACAACTATTTTAATTTCTCTGGCAATCTTTGAACAATATATTTTACACTTTAAATGGAACATACGCTGAAAAAAGTACTAGATTTTGCTTCGAGTGTACTAGAGTACCAGATTCTCAGAGAATGTACTAGATCTAGTACAATTGTACTAGACTGGCCACACTGACCGGGTGTAATAAAATTGTAATGTTTCTTTCCGAAAACTCGTATCACCCTGTGGAGTATACTAGCAACCGAAACATATAGCAGTTGGCATTAGACCGTAGGTCTATCTTCTGGTTTACTTCATTATCTCTGTTATTAAAGGAGATACGCCGTTTTGTAGCTTAACATGTTTTAATAGACTTTAATTATTTTATTATAGCTAATTTAAATTAGGCGAGCAACAAAGCTGTCAACTATGTCGCTCGGCGAGCGACAAAGTTGTCATTTAATGTCAGGTCACGGAAAACGTCAACTTTGCGGTTATATTTCGAAGCGCAAAATCCTACTTTGGATAGTAATCGCAGAAAAAAAGATATTTTTGTCCTTATTACGGATGACCATCCTTTGGCTTGTTTTTGCATAAAAATTCGATCCAGGCTAATTTTTTTATAAAAAACATAAAAATACCTATTTGCAAAAATGTTTATTTGGTGCAAGAACGGGATCATCATCTTAACGTATATTTTAAAAAAAGTTAAAAACAATGACATTTTGTTTGGTGCAAAAGGACAAGTCAAAAGTGTTTATAACTTCGGTATTTATTAATATAATCGTTTGGTTTTTAGACCAAATGATAGTTAATAAATTTTAAAAGCTCGTGGAATACATATCTGGTTACTTCTTGCACAAAACTTTTCAATTTCATTGCGTTGTCTTGAAAAAAATACTTATTGTTGGATAAAAATTATTTTTTAATTCCTATTGAGTAAACGCGTTATGTTACTCTCCCTTTTTATAGAGTGATGTAAACCATTAACTGAATTTTGTGCAACAAAGGCAGACATTGAATAAATTAAATATTAAATAATAAACTTTCGGTAATAAACTAAATTACTAACTAGTTCTACATGAATACTATTCGGCATTATATACTGTAAATTTACTAATATCGTGCAAAATGTAATTAAGTATTACATTAAAAAGAAACACATCATTAAATTTAATTAACATATAAAAAACTTATTTACGCCTTATCTAAAACATAATAATAACTAAAATAAATACTTACATGTTTAATTTATAATTTTTTTTGCACTAAATTTTTACGTCCACTTTATATCTACGAAACATGTCTTGCTTACTTTTTGAGGACCATAACGAAATGGTAAAACTGTCTTGGATAACATCCGAAGAACAAATATACTGGTTTATTACATAAAATATCAGTAGCGCTTCTTTAGATTTCATGGTGAGAATGAATGAATGGAGGAGAATGTAAATCTTTAAATTAAAATTGTTTCACTCGATGTTGCATTATTCTTTCTCTTATTTCAAACATTTATTGTTTCAATGTATTTGTAATCAGCACATGAAAAACTATTAAGGAAATACTATTGTCAATGAAGTACTAATTTATTGCAATAAATAGAGGAAATTAGTGCAGTTTATGGTAAAATATTTAACCAACATATAAATTAGGGGAAGTGTGCTTCTGACGGCACCATGTCATATTTTACGAAGTTCCAAACGAAAGAATTGTCGGTGGGAAGAGTTTGTATATCTAAGATGTTGCAAACATACAATGTATTATATCTAGAATACGTGACATCATAAATAGCGGATTACATTTAAATATTTTATGTCGAAAACACAATGAAAATATTATTTTTAAAAAAACTGCTAATGTATTTTTCACAAATTGTCATGCTTGGCGACTAACAACTATATGTTGGAACAAGCAACTATTTTTGAAAATAAAAAAAAAATAGTTTAAACTCAATCTATAACTTTGTTTTGTTTTCACTATAGAGAAGTAATTACTAATATGTTCACTATCGTTTTGACTTACTAGAAAGAGCAAATTTATATTTATTCTAATTTATTTTAATTAATTCATTTTGAAGTTAGAAAACGCTGACAACTAAATGTTGGAACACGTATTGTTTATTTCACGTTTTTTACTTTTTTCGATGTTATCGCCATGGCTGTGACTATGACAGGTTTGTAATAAAAGCAAACGCAGTCTACAGCTTGTTCTATTGTTGTAAAAACTGTTATCAAATCAGATAATTTGTAAATTATTTTGAAAATAATGGGACGTGGGATGCCAACTGATCGAAAAGTGCGCAAAATTATCATACGGCAATACCATAAAGGTAAAAAACTCCGTGAAATTTCTAAAGAATTCTCTGTAGCAACCTTAGAACATATATAGTCAGGAAGGAGCATGCCATGTCCGCGTTAATCTAATCGATCTGACGGAAGTGGTAGCCATGTTCTACTATGGATGACTCATCATCATATGATAAATGGTTTCTAAAATTGGTTTATAATTTTAGTGATTAAAATTTGTTAATAATTTGGATGTTTTGTTTTAATTTAAAATTTTATGCGTATGTTTTGTGGACATTTTTAAAAAGTTTAGTGTTTAAGTATTTATTTAGTATTACTGTTAATTTAAAATTTTCCGCATTAAAAGACAAACAAGACAATATGGTCAGTTGTTCGTCTTGTGGGATATAGCAGCACAGCTAAAAGTAGAAAGGAATAATCTACGTTTCATAAGCAAGTATTTTGTTCTCTCAATTTTCAACCACATTAAAGATTTTTAAAATTTTTAATGTTTTAAATTTGAAAACAAACATGGTAGGTGCGTCTGCGATCAACTGTGCTCATAGGCGTAGTCTCATGGTTTATAGGGTATACATACTTTTATTTAAACAATTCTTTTATGCAATTTTAAGATATTTATGTGATTGTTAAAATGAATAAGTTATTGTTCAATTTCGATTTATAAATTGATTGCAAGTAAACAATTTTCAGATTTCTTAAAGATTCTAGATTTACAAATTATATAAATTAATCCCAGGTAGACAATTTTCAGATTTCCTAAAGATTCTCAAAAAACAAAGTTATGGCTTGAGCTTATGCAACAAGCAAATTTTGTGCCAAAATATCTTAATTTTTTGTGTTCACGCCATTTTAAAAGAGATTGTTTCGATCGAACCTCAAAACCAAGAATAAGACTTCTACCAACAGCTGTTCCAACAATAAAAGTGGTCCGGTTGAAGTATATAAGTAAATAAATTCGTAACTAACTATATCATGTGCCGTTTTTTTCGTATAATAGAAGTTTATTGTATGAATGTGATGCACCTTATATAATTTATTACAAAGTTATTTACAAAAACGAACACAAATAAAATTAATAATATCTCAGGTAAGGAAATAAGTAGCATATCACATGCCTCAAGATATTGTCTTAGGTCCTATCTTGTTTAATTTTATTTTAAATAATTTGTCGTTTAACTACAGATGGAAATATTGTAAGTTTTTTAGACGACACAGTTATTCTGTAAAATGCAGAGAACTGGAATTGATTAAAATTATAAATAGAAACAGATTTTATAAAAAATTTCGAATGGTTTAACTATAAAAATTTACAAGCCTTTGATAAAACTTATGATGTTCCATTATATACACCAAATAGAAAGCCTTTCTGCATTAATTTGCGTTAAAAATCCCCGGTGCCATGCTTCAACGCTATCATTTGTTAGAGGTATGTTATTTTTAATGTTATGGTAAAAATTCCATATACTGTGTTTAAACATTGGTAACAAGCGTTGTGTTCTTTCCATTTTTCCGACCCAGGTATCTTCGAAATAGTTCACAAAGTTTTGTAAATCGGCTGGCAATAAATTGTTTTCCAGTATCACCTCAAAACCTTTCACAACGAAATTTACTGGAATGAAAGCCAATGCCATCAGAAGCTTTATGGCATATGCAAACTGCACATCTGTATCATATTTAGTTGTTAGTCCCATACTTTGGATTATTCTATATATACTTTGACCAAAATGAAAGTAACAACCAACATGTTGAACAGCTGAAACAGCTTCTTAATCGCATTTATTACTGCTATTTCATAATCAGTTGTAATTATATTTACTTTCATACTAAGTAAGATTTGTTGGAGTTGCTTAAAAATTTTTAAGTACGTGTTTTCAGTCTTATCTGACATTAGTATGTATACTAATGGGACAAACATATTACCAACATTACCATGAATGGTGTAAAGTTGATAAAATAGATTAGGTACCGTTTTAAATGTTCCATCCATAAGCCAATGCTTGCATTCAGAAAGAATTCGTATATTAGCATCAGTTGCAAAAATTATGAACCTACAGTTATCTTTATTACCAGAATCATATTGTAAAAATGTTTGCCCTTTTTCTGTAACTTTAAAATATTCAGGTATATTTAATTCCATAATACTAGTAGGATTTTTTGGAAAATTGTCTGTCTTTTCTCTAATTCTTCTTATACTCCTCTTCATACTGGAAATTTTGGGTAAATGACAGCATGCCATGTGGTTTGAGCCAGCTGTTGCAGTACTTATTATCGAATGGGGAAGTTCACACGTTGTTTTAGCTTTATCTTTGATATTTTGAAGAATATTCCGTACCTCAACCATTTCTGGTCGTCCTGGATAATTATGGTAATTTATTTTTTGAGGAGTCTCTTCATTTTTACAAATTAAACGACCCTTGCAGCCATGTCTCCAATGTTCACACTTCCAATAAGTTGTTAATTCGATGGTTTTATCCTTTATATAAAAATATCCATCTAAATAGAACATATTTTTGCCTTTTTACTTTCCTATCTATATACAGATATAAAGAAAGTATAAAAATAATGATTTTTTTCGACCTCGAGTTTTCGACGGATTTTTACGTTTTGAGGTCCCCTGAATCCGTTTTGACTATTTTCGCGATGATGTCTGTGTGTGTGTCTGTGTGTGTGTCTGTAGGTCGCATAACTCATGAACCGATACACAGAAAAACACCAAATTTTAAACTTAAGCTTTATTCCAGCGTCTTATGAACTGATTAGATTTTAGGCAGAGTCGGAACATCTGGGGGGTACTTTATGGGTGGTCATTTTTATATTTTATGGAATATATCTATTATTTACGTTAGGAGGAGAAAATTTTTCAAATAAAAGTTACTTCTAATATAATTATCTATAATGTTTGTTCTATACGAAATTTTCCTAAAATGGTCCGTATTCGAGAAATTTGACAAAATGTAAAAAAAATATTTTTTTATAAAAATTGTTCAAATAAAAGTTGTTTGTAATATAATTTTAAATAGAACCCATTCTATTACATATCTTGAAGATAAAAAAACATTTTTTATTAATATCAAAAACTAATCTCACCCGTTTCTGTTAAACTTGTTACCTACTTAATTTTGTTTCTCGTTTTATTTCAAGCTAGTAACTACATTTGACTAAATCATCTCAGGAGTGTCTTGAAAGGCAACTGAATTCATAGTTTTTTTTTTTGTGGGAAAAATGCTTTTACGCACACCCTACGTGGTTTTCGGCAGGGTAGTGTGGGAATCAAGACGTCTTATACCCACTAAAAATCCATCCTCTTCCCGTTGGTGTCATGGGAGCCTTTCTCTTTTTAATTCTGCAGCCGCTCTATGGCATTACTTCAGAATTAAAAATATGTCAATTAAATATACCTCTCATCCGCTTGTTTCTTCTTTAAGATGCCCTTTTTTTGTGTCTTCGGCATCAACTGCTATGGTTATTAGCCTCGTGTTCTGTGTAGGCTTTGTTACTGTTTCCCAGTGCCACTTTAGGAACAGCACTGTTAATTAGAACCCAACAATGAATGGTCGAGTGGGGAATCCTACCAAGGCATCAGAATTAATTTTAAATAATTAAATTAAATGAAAAAATCCCGGCCAACGGTGGGATTCGATCCTGAGACCTTCCGATCTCAAAGTCATGATTCTAACCACTGAGCCAACCCACCCCCAAGATGCCGTTTATCAAGCTATTTATTGCTGTCCAGTTTTTTTCGTTCTTTAATAGAAGCTCTGCTATGTTTTCTTTTGTAATTTCTACTCCACATTTTATATTCGCCTCTATTCGTAGTATATGCCATCTTAGACATTCAAAAATAGTGTGGTCTGAGGCAATGTTATTACAGTACCAGCACTTGTGATCTTCTATTACTTTTAGTCTCTTTAGGTATGAGCAGAATTTGCCATATCCCGTTATGGCTTGTGTTAGGTGATAGTTTATTTTGCCAACTTTTCTTTCTTGCCATTTCCTGATATCTTTAATGTATGTTTTGGCTTTACCGTCGTGTTGATTTTGTAAAAGTTTTCTCTCTAGCCTCATTGTTGTATTCTTTGCCTTTCTGTAATATAGATATTCGTTTTTCTACCTTTAAGTGTAGTCCTGCTATGGCAAGGA